AAATAGTTATATGCAATGTGCGCGAAGCAGACGCGGGAGAGACACTTATCCCCCGAAGAGCACAGCCGCTTGCTTTCTGGCTGGATGATAAAAGCCGCTTCTCCACACTCGCGGATGCGGCGCGAGCGAACCTTTGCATGCCGCGCACGAGTGTGAATAGTGAGTGACTTCTCAGCACAGTGGCGAATGTCGTAGACGAGGACAGGAACAGACTGACCTCCGAAACGTGGAGATGCTAAGTGTTTATATATGTCTATGGGCATCAATTTGTCAATTTATAATGCTTCCTCAATATTTCTCCAGTGCCGTCAAGTTACTTTCACTGTTAAAAATGTAAACAAATAATGCTACACAATCAACAGAACATTTTAAAAAGTTACTGCATACTTAAATGTTTTTGAAACTGTGGTTGGTATCGGCCGATACAGATTCCAGTGACCGGCAATCGTGATCATTATCGGTCGATACAGATTCCAGTGACCGGCAATCGTGATCATTATCGGTCGATACAGATTCCAGTGACNATTCCAGTGACCGGCAATCGTGATCATTATCGGTCGATACAGATTCCAGTGACCGGCAATCGTGATCATTATCGGTCGATACAGATTCCAGTGACTGGCAATTGGTGATCGGCTCAAAAAACCCAGATCGGAGCATGCCTAATTAATACCGGTGATAAAGCAACAAGCTGTAAGGCAGGAAATGATGGCCGCCATGTCCGAAATGTCACACTTTGGGCTGCAGCAGAGAAGCAATTTGTTTGGTGACACAGCCCCCGCCGCCCCCATCACCGAGCACGACATGGGGGAGAGGGGCACCAAAGCGGACAAGACAGCTGCTACCGCGGAGAGCAGGTGACAGGTGCGATAGAGGTGGGACATGCTCAGAGCTGTTGGAATTTCAGGGAGGGTGTTGGAGTTCAGAGAGTGACGGCACGGGGGGGGGGGGGGGGGCACTGCTCTGGGGCATGGCCTCTCAGCCCCCAGCACTCGGGACAGCTGGAGTCAATACCGTCTAACGGCTGGTCAAACAAGCGCAACGGCACCGGCATTCAAAGAGCGGGGAGACGTGGCCGGGAAACCAAACGCTTCTGACCGACACCGCAGGAATTGCCGGTTTACAGAAAATCGCTCCGACACATTCAGAGCATTCACCTTCCACAAAAAAAACCAAAACAAATACACTACTGACTCTCTTCTACTCTGAGCTCCTTGTCAAAGACCTCTTCTTGGAAGAACTGCAGAATCCATCTTCCTCCAGTGCTCAATCAGGTATCCCCCAGTTGTGACAGGGGAGGATTAGCTTTATTCCAGGCTTAAATTGGATTTCACCACCGACTTTCTTCTTCAGCGAAGCGTCCGGAGAGTGGGGTAAGACCTGTCTGCAGAACCCGCTGACATGTTTACGAGACTCTGCCCAGTAGAACAGTGAAAGCGAGAGACACTTCTCCCGGGGTCAAGAAAACTCCTGTGTTTGGAAGACATGGATGCCGGAACGTCGAGAGCTTTGAATATAGAGCAGGTTTGGATCGGGCCCAACTGAACCAAGTGGACCTTCCAGTCCAACTCAGCAGGAAAAAAGCAGCTTGAGTAATGCAGCGATCGGTCTAGATATCGATCGGAACAGCACCAGGGGTTAAATGCTGCAATAATAAATTTATATTTCTAGGTCCGTGTCAGTAGGCAGCCACTTGCACAGTGGGAAGGTGAACAACAAGGTGTGGGACTGTGGGAGATAAACATCTCAATCCCATCAGCCCACGAGTCTTGTTCTGTTGACCTCTTAGCCTTGTATTGTACACAGACCAGACCCAGACAGTTTGGAAGGTGACCTGTTGCCAGGATAACCGGTCTGCAGTTACCTGTAGGAGCTTGACAGGTGGGTGTGGCCGCCCCGCGAACAAGGGTTTCTGACCTCTGTTCACCCTGCCACACCATAGAAGGAAAGAATCTTTAAAAGCCGCATGCTGACAGGCAGGGCTACAGCGAGACGTGTCCCTGCATGAGCACCGAGACCCTGAAGCAGCAGATCACTACTCTCCATCTTCTGAAAAAGGGGCGAGACCTGTTGATGTGTGATACCCCTGAACAGAGATGTGTGCAGCTCGACTCGGGGCCATATAAATTACGGGGGATGCATTTCCATTGGTCGGCTGTTCACAAATACCGCTGATGACATGACACTAGAGAGCATCAAATCGTTAAAATTAACGTTCAAGATGCCAGACCTATCTAATTCAGTGCCCGGTCAAAGATGTCTTTAAACATGAGGGCTAAATTCGGATCGGCCTTCAACTTTCTGCAGCAGGGAAGTTGAAAGGCGGCATTATGGAGTTGAGGGACGTCTTTGTCAGAGCAGGACGCTCCTCAGGTAAGGGCCACAGCTGCCAGCTTTACACACAAGCCACCGTCAACATCTGCCTGGCAACCAGCTCCACTGGGCGGAGACACATGGAGTAACACAGATGGGAGGGACTGGCCACTTCTACCATCTCACCACTAATTTCACCATCTCAAGCAATCAACTCCAGTATGAATTACAGACGAATTTAACTCTTTGGTTGGAAATGGCCATCAGCAGAGGTACTGGAACTGTTACCAAATGTAGAGCAAGTTTATCCAAATATTTATTTTAGTACTAGGACTGGACTCAATGGGGGTTTTATACAACAGAAGTGGTCTGTTGGTTTCAGGTAGACCACCGTACCACTGGGCGCACCAGTAGAAATACTGGACAAGAAGATTCTACTCCAAACTGCCAAATCTCCTTCAATCACTTTTGTGGCTTCCGTCCATCCAGAAAGCTCCACTAGACACGGTGACAGATGACAGCAGCAAACCAAATAAATGTCACAGGACCAAGGCCACTCAGGCATTTTCACACGACCCGGCTGCCGATCTGTCAGCGCTGTTCTGCTTAGGCTTAGTAACAATATTAAACCCTCATGCAAGTCATCCCAGCTGCAGTGGAGTCAGGGAGCAGCCAATTAACACCACAGAAACATTAAGGGCTGTCAGGGTCTCCGGGCCGGTTTGCAATCTAATTCATCCCGAAGATTTAATTTAATCACTCCAGTGCATCCAGGACGGCATCAAGTCACCCAGGTAGTAAACAGATTAAACAGTCTGCCCACGCGAGTAGAATGAGACAGCCCTCCGTATGTTTTCACTTCATTCCTGCAGATGTTTTACTGTACGAATCCACAAAAAGTTTATGTTTTCAATTGAATTAAGCTGCTACTGAAGCAGAACAGCACAAATCAGAAAAAGTCTGACCATTTATACGCCGTCCTGCAGCACCAGAGCAGGGAGGGGGTCAGGCTGTGTGAGCCAGTGCGAACATGCGACCCCCAGTGCGAACATGCGACCCCCAGTGCGAACATGCGACCCCCAGTGCGAACATGCGACCCCCAGTGCAAACTCCAGCGTGCACACAGGTACACGGGCACACACACCTCGCACCATAACAGCTATCACTTTGGGCTTCAGATTGCGACCAAAACAGTCTCATATGTAACCATTTATGGAGAGTGTGCAAGTAAAAATTTCACATGGGTCGCATCTGTGTGAGTGTATGATAATCATTAGGATGTTTTGCTCCAGCACGTGTACTGCATTAACCAATTTTAACTGAAAGTTTTTCTTCCCCGCAGTTTGTATTTTTATTATTTCTTTGTTGAGTTGGTCTCTCCCTACCAGCACGTCACAGTACGATCGTATACGAGCACTGATAAAACGCGCAAAACAAACCCTTTAGCCGTGGTGTTCACGTGTTACAAAAATAAAATGGCCTGTAGCTGATTATTTAAATAATAAAAAAAAAGAAAAACAAGAAATTAGAGGGAAGAGGAGGCTGGTGGAGATAGAGCCAAAGAGGTCAAGACAGACGAAGATGATAGTGAGTGTTATTCATGTTCAGATTAAAATATCCTGCAAAGACAGGAACCCCTGACACATTCTCACATTTGACATTTGTGGTTTCAGTCATTCGCACGTTGCCCATCAACAATGAAATGGGTATATTGGTTGCGACCAAACCACATGCTGGTGCGCCCACAGGAAAAGAGCCCTGTGTTTGTCACATGGCCAAGGACCTCCCAAGGCCCCTTGATCATGTTCTAACACGCTTCCAGGAAGAAGCCAACAATTCAGCCAGCATCGACGGCCAAAAGGTTGCTGGTTCAAATCCCGTTGTTGGAAAAGTGATCATGTCATTGCTGGACCCTTGAGCAAGGAACAGAAGCCCAAAAATTAATTGGATTAAAAATGTCCAAGCCCAGGTTTCGCTCTCACCTATACAAATGTTTGTCTTATAGGAGAGAAAGATAGAATGAGAGAACTATTCCTATGTACCCATACAGAGGCTAGTCATTCTTACCAGCTCGACACTCTCGGTGCCACCTTATATGGGCACAATATTTAGCACAGAATTTTTAAACCCCACATTATAGGCAGCTGGACTTTAATGGTTCCATTTCCCAACACTTGGGCAGTGGCTCTTGCACCTTACAGGTCTGATCTGGCAGAGTGGCAACGTAAACCTCTTTAGTGGGTGGAAGATGCATGAGGTTCAGGACATGGCCGTCCACACAGCCCCCAGTACCATCTCAACTCTGATCTGCTAATTGGACACGACCCACAGCTTCTGCGGAGATAAAAGGCCGAGTGCAGACGGTGGAAGCTGCTCAGGACCCGGCCAAGCGATGCTCCTCTTATCAAGGAAACAAAAGCCAGACTCGAGGTCCATGGAGACCCCGACAGTAAGGAAATGCCGCTTCATGGCCAATTTACGGTCTCCCCGAAAACAAGCTAATTCCAGGGAGCGCTCCCGATGGACGATCAGAATGCGAAATGCAGAGAGGGGCTGAAACACATCGGCCCGGATCACAGGCCCAGGCTCTATTGTCCAGTAGGTCAAACGTAAATAAAAGATGAACCTGACCTCTATTTAACCTTTGAACAAAAACGGCGAATTGTGCCCCCTGGTGGCCCTCCTACCTGTTGTCGTTAAGCTGCGTGTATCTCGGCTGTGGATCAGGGTCCCCGTCATTGACATCATAGCTGGCTTCGGGGTCCTGAGGACAGGAAGCGGCCGACGTGTTAAACACCAGCCCAGTCCACGTTTAAACCCCCACAAATGGTCCTGCTCTAGACAAGCCAGCAGCTCGTACATAGTTATCCACTAGATCTGGGTGGTTCTTCTCGATCCCGTCATCGAGGATGGAGACGACCACGCCTTTTCCCGTGTAGCCCTGTTCCCAGGCCCCCCTGGCATTCAGGTCTTGATGGTCTGCATTATACTGCAGCAAGAAAGGAGGGGGAAAAAAAGGCTGAACGTTATGCAGCTGGCAGAACAATAAAACAAAGGCACCCATTAGCCTAGGCTGGTACACTTAATCTCATAAGTGTATGGACTGCAAAGTAAACGTTAGCCAGCTCAGTGCGCTTCGATATTTTTATGAGAATAAATATGTTTATTTTAAGCGGGATTAAGCGGGAGATGATGGATGGATGGAAATATGTTTAGGCAAGAGGCCGTGTCTGTGTGTGTGTATAAAACAGCACCACCATACCTGTAAAGCTCAATCAAAACTTCACAATAAACAGCTTAGGCAAAGGCAGGTGCCCGGCCCCTCCCTTTGTATGTGCTCGAGTCGGACCAATTCACACTTCTATCTGATCCTCTTAAAAACATTGCGGCTCCACCCAGCACTCCCAGTAAACAAAGTGGTTACACTCCAGGCACCCCACCCCCAATCTGAGGGCCCTCCTTCGGTACAAATCACAGATCCAGCCCTCACCGAAAGAGATATTTACACATTCCTAACAGAGCATTTTTTAAAACGGCTTGAGGCCCACAAGAGGAAGCCGAGGCCCCCAGTGTCTGAAAGGCAACAATATGCTGACAGAAACGCAAGGATTCTGACAGGACAATCAGAAATTCATTTACCCTAAAGAAGAAGTGTCAAGGATTATTCAAAAAGCGGACAAAATTCATGGCAAACCAATTCTAACATTTCACAGGTTTACATTTCAGCTTCAGAGTGCTGCACATCGAGAACGACTAATCCTGGCATCGGGCAATGAGGAGGACACCTCCACTTGCTCTAAGGCCCCCGTGATGGGAAAGGAAACCATTAAACACAGATGGCAAGGCTTCTACTTACCAGATACCATTGCTGGGAGAACTTGGGGTCTGACAGCTCAGTGTAAATATCCCTCTTCTTCCTCTTTTTAATCACCTGCTGCTCAACCCACACCACCTGGGGGCGACAACACACAGAGACCTTCGATGAGATGACAGGAGCGTGGGCAGGGTGCGTCTTCTGGGGTTCCGCCATACTCACATGCTACAGCGAGCCGGTGTTCAACAGTACAGCCCTGCACAGCGCGCCAGCAAGGCCAGCGAATATTACCTGCCCTCACTGGTGCTATTCATTAACTCCCTGAAACACTAGCATACAGTGAAGCAAGTACACAGGCTGCAAGCCATGCAAGTGAACAACCCCACCAAGAGGAGGTCCAAGGGACCCCCACCCCCCCATACAGCAGTAACAGAACCGGGGCGAAGTTTTAAGATCCTGGTGAGACTTTGTATCACAGAGCGGTGCTGTTCAAAGTCGGGACTGTTTGCACAGCCGGATTATCCATGTACAGTATGGCGGCTTAACTGGCTCCCGAGGGTCTTTGAGCTCCAGGGGCCTGCAGGGGGGTGGGGGTGGGGTTTCAGAATCAATGCAGTCGAACAGCGGCGCCGCTAATTAAACCAAACCATGTGCCGCCGGGGTCCGATTCAATGGGAAGGTTTCAAACAGATCGATGGTAATCTTGTCATGGTTCTGCCCTAAATTTTAGCCTTCACCGCGCAGCGCGGGTGATCCGATAAAATTTACCACCCGTTTTTAACCACAACCAGCTCAGAGACTGCAGAGCAGGAAGGTGGATCTGGGGGCCGTCATGACCCAATTCAGCCAACTTCCCCATGGGCGGGACCGACACCGGCCGGCTCAACGAACCCCACCCGCAGCGCGTTTAAGGAGCCTCATTTTTCCATCGTGCGACAATGGCGGCCAAATGAACAGGCAAAAAAAATAAAATAAAACTCCAGATGTCATGCATCATAACCCTGTGAAATGCAACAGAGCAGGAAATAACTGGGGGAGGGGGGGGGCACGGGAGAGAAGGAGCCCACCCCAGGCATCTTTCAAGTGGATGGAAATTAAGTACAACCAGAATTACCAAAAAGAAAAAGAGCAACAGTTTGAGACATGCTAGGATACGGCATGGGATAACTCAGAAGACAGGGATGCTCCGATGGAGCGCCACCTAGTGTTCACCTCGAGTCACGACAGTCACTGGAAGTGCAGGTCGCACTGGTGACGGTCCAAGCTGCCTTCACATCTATGGTTCCCCTGCTATGGTGGGGGGTGGGGGGCTGACACAGAGCAGTGCACCAAGGACGGAGGAGGCACTGAAGGGCAGCTGGGGGACGGCTTCTCCCCATCAGCACAGATCTATGGGGGGTGTCAGAGGCTCACAGACTGGCGTCACGGTGGAATCGTTAAGGGGAACGTGAGCAGATACCTTCCACATTCCCAACAAGCGGGCAGTCACCGTTACCCCAATCAGTGGGCGATTCCCTAAAACACGCCGTTGGTGCTTATTACTCGGCGCTGCATCTGAGAAACGTCAAGAGCAGAGCGTATAATCAGAGCGCCAACAGGCATCTGGCTTCCATTCAGACGCATACCTGCTCGCAAACAGCCAGACAGGCTGGGGTCAGCCGTGCATGGAAGGTGCGCGCAGACACACGCTGGACGTGAAAGGCGGAGCTAAACAGCGTGCGTGCCACGGGACAATCTTTCACCTCGTCGGCAGTCCGCTCAAGACACCTTCAAGCTCCGCTGCATTTAGTCAGAGGCATGGAAAAGGCTCCGCCCCCCCGACCACAACAAAAAGCCTTTCAAATCGCAATGTTCTGCTACTCATCCTATTCTATCTGTGATTATCAGTTACCGAGAGGCATGGATACAAAGCATATGGATGTGATGACAGCAGGATGCTTTTTAAAAAGCAAAAGCCTTTCTCCTTTGCAGACCACAACGGCGGAGCAAGGCAGCCGGGGGAAAAAATAGCAGAACTGCAGGGATCCGGTGCCTCCCCGAGAAGGAGGTCCTGACAGCCCTTGGATGAAACTCTGGCTTCTGCTGGTTGACTTTCCAGCCCACAGAACTCAACTTAGTAACACGGGGTGGGGGAGTAACTGACTCCTATATATAGGCTGGAGGTTGAGGTCTTTGGAGGCTGGGAATTCCCAGGAGGACCGGCTTAGGGAAATACCCAATTCATGGGATCACGCTCACCGTCCACATTTACAGAGCTTTCTAAAAACTGCAGGCATGGAATGAATGCTGGTAAACAGGTCATCTAACAATACCTCAAGTAAACATCGATTTCACTAGAGGATGGTCAGGCATAGACTCCCAGAGCTGGGGGTTAGCAGGTTGGTGCTAGTGACCGGAAGGTTGTGAGTTTGAATCCTGGAGGCTGTCAGACTGATGCTGCCATTGGACCCATGAGCAAGGCTCTTCACCCATAACTGCTCGTGGAGCACGGCACACTGCGACCCTGCATTCTGACCCCCAAACCTGCTCTCACCTGTATGTGTCTCTCTCTCCCTCATAGAGCAAGATGAGGTAAGTGAAGAGAATTTCCCCACGGAGATGAATTAAGTATCACTATTCTATTCTATAGGAAACCCCCACGTCCTGCTGTCAGTTAGTAACTCCACATGGCAAAAAAGGGAGTCCTTGAGTAAATAAATCAAAACATACCCTATGTGATTCTCTCTCGCACTAACCAATGGGAGCGGAGTTTCATGGACCTGGGCAGGAAAAGGAACACAATCATTGGATCAAGACCGCTAGGTCCTGCCTTTGTAAAGCATGTTTCAGTTAAAATCAGGTTTCAGCTGTTCACATTTCATCACAAAAGGATGAACTTTTCTCAGAAATTGATATACCCTGCACTTCCTTGGGGTCCAGCCTAGCCAGTGTCCCAAAGATAATGTCATGTCTATTCTTTAAATATAAAAGGCTTGTGAAAAGGACAAAAAAAAAAAGTCCATTGTGAAGTATAATTGTCCCACATCATGACTTTTAAGCAGCGCAAGGATTAACGGTTCTTGAGAATTATAAAATGAGACCCATTAAATGGAACAGAACAGAACCTCCCGGCAGCGATCTGATAAGATCACCATTAGAAATGGACCCAGAAGCTGGTATCTCCTCACACCATACTCTTTTTCCATTCAGTCTTTTCAGATGCCAGAGTCAATAGATAAAGACTTTTTCTGGATCAGAAAGTTAGTGATTGGCTTTATGGGGGGATGGTGTTCAACTGTTAGGCTCCCACTAATCCCCCTCACAAGGGACACACACACAGACACGATAACATATCACAGGAGGACTACACAATGACATTCCCTAAATTACACTTGTCCAGCAAGATGAGCCAGCCTTCGACAGTCCACAAAATGTTTAAGCAATAAACAGCAGTGGTTTGTCCGTCAGCGCTCCAGCCCGTCTGTTACTCGGGCTAGATTACTCACGCATTGTTTTTGATTAACCTTACCCAGACTGCAGCCCTGCCTGCCAAACCGTGAGCCTCCCCGAGATGGGAGGCTTCTTCCGCTCTATGGTGCTTTGGGAGCAAAGGAATTCAACAACAGGAAAGGCAGCGCCAACAGCGAGCGGAACCCCTCACTGGAGGGCACAGGACATGTAGGGTGAGGAAATCTGCTATGTTCTTCCATGACACACACCCCCCCCCCCGCCGCCTTTCAGAGACCCACTCCCCTCCCTCCACCTGTCCACAAAACTGTTCAGCCCCTCCCTTCTCCCATGCTTTGCATTTTTTTGAAATTCAAACAGGAATTCTGGGAAACCAAACCGCCCAGTCCTTCCTCATCTTAGTGGGCGGAGCGTCTGGGACAGACTGCAAGGTTCATGGCACTGAGTCGCAGCCAGACCCAACCCCAGACCTCAACAAAAACAAAAAGCCGGTTCCTATGCGGCTGCTCTTTGTTAAACCTTCAGAAGATGCAAAACGCTACTTTAAAATCGGCCTTTGGAACACTACAGTGTAATTCTGAATATAATACAGAACCAGGCCCAAAAACACAAAACCATGCAGCATTCCTGTGTCCCGATGCGGTTTCGGCCATACAGAGAGACTCTGACATAAACCATCTCGCCATCCATGGTATGCCTACCCAACGAGGCATTTTAAATATGTATCTTGTTCTTGTTTCAAGGCTGAAACGTGCCAATGGCAGTTTTTCCAAAAGCATGGAGGCAAATTCAGAATGTCAGCATGATACAGATTTTCTAGATCAGGGGATCCCAAAGCGGGGTGTGTGGGGCACTGGCGGTGGGTGGGGGAGATTTCCAGTATGTTACAAAGTACTTGAGGGAAGAAAAAAAAAAAAAGATTAAAAAAATCTGAGTGGACCCCGGCTGATTGGTGAAATCTACTGAGGGGAGGAGGACCACCCACAAATGGGAATCGTGAATTTTGGTCACTTATTTTTGCGGCTGTGGGCTGAAAAGTTTTGGCTCCCATGCTCTAGATAGACCCCCTAAACTAGGAGATGAACCAGAATGATGGTGGGGTCTTAATATTATGGACCGTCTATATTTTAAACCTTGATCATTCCACAGTTTCCATTCTGGTACGATGGGGACTAACACACCTTGAGCATCGGCATATGAAGGAACTCTCTGTTCACCTTCTGTTCCTTTAGAAGCATCTCCAAGGCGGCACGGCATGAAAACCTGAAATCCTTTTAAAACGCTACACACAGAAAACCTAACTGCTGCAAGACAGTCAATGTGGTGCGTCAGTTTGTCTCATCTCCGGTCGTACCTGGGGATCCTTCTGCAGCTTGACGTGAGTCCCACGATGCACTGAGAGAGACCTCTTCACCACACCACGGTGCTTAAAGTGGTAGTAATCACCGAACACCTGCAGAAAACAAGACAAGCCCTTAGCAACCCATGGAAGCAGAACTCAGGAGGTGGAAATTTCTGTATCCAGATACCCACTTTGGGGTTTTGTTGGTAAGTCTTACAAGGAATTTTATTTGAAGATCACCCGTAAGAACATATTCTTATATTGAAAAAACGACCTACTCCAAATGATCCCAGGATTAATAGTGAAACAAAGGCAACAATGGCTCCCAAAATGCATGAGCAAAAGTCACATTTGCACCCTCATGTGTCCCAGAGGCCGCAAGTAGCCATCGGCAGCCGCACTCCTGTCCTCGAGAGCGGCGCCGCCACTTTCTGCTCTTTAGGGGAAAGCATTTGGGCAGAAGACAGCGGTTTCAGCCAAACAGCCCATCAGAAGTGGCCCGCTGGATGTAGAAAACAGAGACATGTCTCACGGCAACCGACGTTCATATCTTCAGACGTGGTGGGATGAGTAACGACTAAAACAAACGCCATGCTGCCCCGAGGTAAATTACAGCGGACGACGCTTGAAAGACCGACCGGCTAATAGCTAGCAAAGTGTCTACAGAGTTCGGCTCCCAGCGAAGCACCACCAAGCTGTAACAGGAAGGTGTTGGACCCAAGGTGAGGAACGGGCAGCTCGCCGTTTAGTCCCATACATATTTCATTATTAGACCAGAGCAAAAAGTAATTCGTACCTTCTCAGCCCACCACGAGTAAATAAAAAGGATAATGTATCAGCTCAGAAGCTTTTATTCAAGGGCCCTGAGCTCACAAGTCGGCCCATTTGTAGAGCCAGACATTTACTGAAGCAATTTAATTAAATCAGCTCAGCCAGGACATGCATTTTTTTTTTATATAAAAAGCTCAAACATGAATATTTAAAAATTACACTCCATTACAGCTTCTCACCATAACCTCTTCAAAAAGGTGGGAAGAACAGTCAACCCGACTCGCTCATTATACGAGGGAAGATTCGCCAAATGAATTATTCATGGGTTCTGCAGAGTGCCCGTTGAGACCTGCTCCTCCCTCCTATCAAATGACGGAAAGACTTCACTTTCCATAATGCTCTTCAGTGCTCGCACGCTAACTGGGACTAAAAACGACATGTAAGGGTCAGCAATCAGGCCGAAGTGATGAGGTGTAATTTCCTTGTCATGCTCTAGGGGGCGCTCCGGGTTCCATGATGACGATCTGAAACTATGGCAAGACAGACTGGAGTTGCCATCCCAGAGTTTGTGAATGTTCTGCGTTCTTCACTGCTGTCACTAGTGAAGGCACCTTTCCTCTGCAGTGCTTCTCCTAGGCAACTTCGAAGCAACAATGCCATTGAAAACAAATGGGGGGGTGGGGGGAGATGTCAGGGACAGGGGAGATTAATACCTTTAGGCACATTTAAACCATCTTCATTAATTTAGCCTTTATCGCTAAACTAAGCAGCGCTCGTAAAGCATCGGTTGGGAGTACACTGCTTTATGTAAACGTTGCGCTGAATCAGCCTGGGCTTATAGCTTCCAAGGATCACCTGAAAAACGTCCAGGCCCCAAAAGGATCCTGTGTGCGAGATAAACGTTAACATCCATAAAGAGAGAAAATTCAACAAGCCCCTTTCCTGACAAATTAGGTGAGACTTGCAACGCTTTTTTATTAAATACGACAGAATGGGCAGATGCGTTTCCATGGTAGCGCCGTTAGAGATGGTTCACTACCCGGCCAGAGAGGTGAGTCCAGATTACAGCCTTAGATTCAGCACAAACCTGGCAGCCAGAGACATCAACCAAGGGAATAACTGCTCCCAGTAGCGAGAGGGATAATTCCAGCCCTTACCGGCTGATGTCTAGGATTCCGCCCAACATACCCAAACATTCAGCGGCAGACGCTCACACCCACTAAGGCCGAGTAGGCTGCACATACGCCAACCAGACACACAAGGTGAAAGCTACATTCAGCTAAAGCACATCAAGAAATACTGGACACAAGTTGAGCACAGGGATTGCCAAGCAATGATGAAACGTGCTAACTGCTAAGGCACCCAACCACGCAGGTAAACTGGCATGAGCGTTTACATAAGGATACCAAAAGTGCATTCCAAACGGGAATATCAAGCTGTCGTGGGGAACATGATCGACGATTCGATGGGGACACTGAAGGACAAGCAGCCCAGTACCACTGGATCTCAGGAATACCTGCACCAAGATGGCCTCCCTCTTATCAGGAAGCTAAATCTAAACTGAAAAACTACATGAGCTTCCTATATGAAAAGTAAAGACTGCCCAGTCACTCCCCAAAGATCCATGCCTCAGTTTTTTTGGAATCAGCCAGCGCGGCGCAGCGCGTAAAACCACAGAAGGCGGACGGTCAGAACAGCATATTAGAAATGTTAAGGAGCAAAGTAATGGGTTGTAAGTGGTTCTGAAAATCTGACTAATGGCATCCTTGGTGGAACGAGGGAATAATGAATAAGCGTCAGCTGCGGCAACTTCCTAAGAAAACGTCTGGTTTTCCAGAAAGCCAACAAACACATAAATACAAGTACAGACATGGTTCTCTTACGGACTACGGGGAACACAGGAAGTAACAGGCACTCTGTCATGACATGAGCAGTGTGGTGCTCAGGCTACAGCCCGATAATCATCCCAAATAACATGCACATGCCTGTTAAACCTGGCTAAACAACCATCACCACTCACAACCTGCTAGGAGAAGGAAAAAAAATAAAATAAA